GGGGGCGTTGGTGCAGAGGGGAGTGCTCCACAGAGAGAACACCCTGTACGGAGGATCCCCGAGGTGGGAGGAGCTGAAAGGGCAGCGTGGCTGGAGCCTGCTGAGTAGGGGCGGGAGGAGAGAGGGGGCAGAGCAGGGGCAGAGACAGTCCAGAGCTTGATCCAGGTGGTCTCAGGGCGGGTGCTCGCCTGCTGGGAGGGAGGGGGACACTTGAGCAAGGGGACCTGTGCTGGAGAGGCCCGTGCTCTTGGCGTGACTCGGAGTGGACCTCCCTGGGCTGATACTCTGCAGGCAGTCAACCAGGACTGGAGTTGACTGGGGAGGGCAGAGGTCTAGGGGATGAAAGCATCGAGGTGGCTGGTGTGAGTTCTGCAATGGAAGCTGACCTCAGAGTCCTGGCTGGACTGGGTGGGAGATGGACCACGAGAGGGTGGGGGCCGGGAGGCTGGGGCGTGGAGAGGACAGAGCCGAGTCAGAGGGAGGCTGGAGGAATGCCCTGAGCGCTGGCTCCCTTTTCTCAGGGGATTATTGCAAAAGGCTGGGCAATTTTCATCCCTCTTGTCATTTAATCCCCCTCACAGCCCTGTGAGGTCAGTGCTTTTATTTTCATTTTACAAGTGAGGTACCGAGGCTTACAGAAGTTAGTAATTTGACAAAGGTTGAAGGTCAGGGAGGCTCAAGGTCATGGGAGGCATCTGAAGGTCCCTTGTGGTTGCGTGGAAAGTGAAGGAAGGTGGGAAAGAATGGAGTTTAAGGATGGAGGGTCAGTAAGTGGGAGCTGATGTCATAGAAGAGAGTGACAAGGTGTAGGGTGGAGTGTCCTGGACAATAGCAGATGATGGTGATGAGGCCCTGAAAGGATCTAAGGCCAGATGGTGGCCACCTCCATTGAGCTGTGGGGCAGCCCCATGGCTCCCCTCCCACCACTGTGGAAAGTTCACCCCCAGGAAATTGGGGCAAGGCTGTGTGATGGTGATGGAGGCTCGTTTTGTATCCCGTTCTGCTCGTTCATAACCATCTCTCTTTGGGGTCTCCCTCTTCCTCCATCCAGGTTCCGTGTGTACCACCCGCACCAAGACGGGAGTGGGGTACCCGCAGCTGAGTGCTGTGATCGAGTGCGCAGACTCGGCCCACGGCCTGAAGGGGCACATCATCTCGGTAAGTGTCCAAGTGGGGCTGGTGGAAGGGTCTGGGAGCATCTGAGGAAGACCCCTGCTCCCTGGCTGCCCTTCACCTTGTTGGCATCCTGTGGGCTCGGTAGTGAGCCAGGCACACGGTCACAGCATTTGGTGACAGTCGACCCTACTCCCTATGGATTCAGGTCGAGGTGATGGGTAGCATGATGGGGGGATACGTGGGGAGCTTTGAGAAAATGAGAGGGCCACGTGTTAGCTTGCTAGGGCTGCCGTAACAAAGTACCCCAGACTGGGTGGCTCAAACAAGAGAAATATATTGTCTCACAATCCTGGAGGCCAGAAGTTCAAGATCAAGGCGTCAGCAGGCCATGAAGCCTCCAGGGAAGGCTCTGTTCCAGGCCTACCAAGCTTCTGATAGTTCCTTGGCTTATGGCACCAGAGTTCTAGTTTTTACGTGGCGTCCTCCCTGTGTGCATGTTTGCCTTTGTGTCCAAATTTCTCCTTTTTATAAGAACATCCGTCATTTTGGATTAGAGGCCCATTCTACTCCAGGGTCACCTCATTTTCTCTAATCACATCTGCAGTGGTGTCAGATGCTGTCACCGGTTGCTGTAGTGAGGGCAGATTGAGTAGGATGTTGGGGGCAGAAGTTAGACATTTGTAGGTGGAGAAATGTATGGGAAGGAGATGAGCAGAAGCAGAGTCAGTGATCATGAAGCTTCTGGAAGTACAGCACCTCAGTACTCAGCCACTAAATGTCAAGGATTGAATGAATGTCAAGTTAATCCTCAATTTATCTGTTCTACTCCACCTTTATCGACATGACCGTCATTCATATAGTTACCACGTCTCTCCCCTTCTAGATGAGATGCTCAGAATAGGACAGAACATGTCAGATGTAACTGGATGGACTTGTACAGAGCTATGGCTTCCACTTATGTGGGTGATACATACATACATGTATATTATATATAATTATGTGTGTGTGTGTATATATATATATATATATATATATATATATAAATTCTGAAGTGGTGGTGTATTTTTAGTGGTGCTGTAACAATGAACTCACATTGAATATAGTAAATTAAATCTTCAGACCTTTTCACTTGTCCAGTTGCTAAGCCAAGCTCCCACATTAAGTAATTGACAGATTATTTTGTAAAAAATCCAGATGTAGTAAGTTACATATCCTGGTGGAATGATCTCTTGTTGATTTTGGCTCAGCATTTCAGCTGGTGAGATTTGATTTCCGGACCTGCTTTGAGGGTATAATAATACTCTTTAAAAATCCCTATGTGCACACCATCTCATTTGAGTTTTACTGTGGCATTGGAGCCCTGCAGCCATTGCTTCCCAGCACATGACTTGTTACAACCAAGCTGACTCGTGGTCCAGCGCACACTTCCTGTGCTCCTTCCAGTTCTTCATCCAGACTTTCCATCCATCCATCCATCCATCCATCCATTCAGTCAGCACGTATTCATTGAGCATCTACTGTGCGCTAGAAGCCGGAATAAATGACCGAAGATTTATTGGCTGCTGACAGAGTTCTAAGACCTTCCAATTAATATCTTTTCCTTTTAGCTTTTGCTCCAGTGAACAAATTAAAACCCACTTATTGAACAACTCATGTGTAAAAGGCTGACACAGAACCATCATCCTACCTTTACGGAGTGTGGTGATTGAATTCACTGGAGTCACCAAACAGCACTGTCCTCCAATATGGTTCTCAAATGCTCACCATAGCCTCGTCTTGGGCTGGCTGCATGACGTTCACCAGGGAGACTTTTCACCATAGACATTCCTGGACCCCATCCTGTTGAATTAGACTCTTCATAGTTTGCCCTCCAGAGCACCATATGTAATTAGTTATAAGTCTCCATTCACCATCAACTGTCTTAATACCAATTTAGACCTTATATATCTTCCTTGAGTGGCCACCATTTCTGAATCAGTGGAGATCAAATTAATGAAGTTTTACTATGAACTTATTCTGAGATCCCATACTTGTGTCTTTCTAGAAATTTCACAGTTGCTTAGTTTATAGGACCATTTGGGGAGTAGGGGTGGAGGCTCTGCTTGCACCACAAGTGACTCTGAAAATCAACTTGGGATCTCCTTACCCACCATCATTTTATAGCTTTTGTCAGCAGTTCTCTAAGTGTGTGCCCAGACCTGGAGTATCATTATCAACTGAGGACTTGTTAGAAGTTCTTGGGCCTCGTCTCAGACCTACTGAATCAAACTCTGAAGGTGAGGCCCAGGAATCTTTTAACAAGCCCTCTAGGTACTTCAGATGTGCTCCCACTGGCTTCTAGAGTCGAGGGTCGGTACACACAGGTCGGGTCCGTGTACCAGAGCCAGAGCTGTCTGCTGGCACCCAGGGAACAGCTTCTGTGAATTTCTCAGGAACAGTGACAGCCCAGGCTGGTGATACCGATGCTCCAAGGTTCTTATTTTTCTATTGATGGCCAGAGCTTTCCTAGATGGGGTTAGAAGTTCAATCTGTAGTGCAGACCCCGTGAAGTTCACAGACTTATACAGGTTCTGCACCCTTGACGTCAGTTCATTCCTTCTGACCAGCAGCTGAGTGTCTTGGGGTTCAAAGCAGCTGTTTTTCTCACTGTCCCTTTGTCTAATGGAGTTTCACAAGCAGGTTTCTCCCACTTGCCAAGAGTCCTAAACCCACTGGAAACCCATCAACTGTTTGGATCCTGCCACTTTGTCCAGTTTCCTTCCAGCTGTCTCATTTTACACTTTCGTCGCTAAATTAGCATGTCTGTGCTACTGAAGTTCAGAAGGAAGCCACAGCAGGGGGTGGGTTACACCCGAGAGGCTGGACGTGAACTGTGGTCCACGTGGGCTTCTGAGAGGCAGAGGGCTGAGAAATCCAGGACACCTCCTGGGTAGGTGAAGATTAAGGTGTGACCTGTTCATTTTGTCTTGTCATCTGCTAGGGACATGACACAAAGGAGAGCATTTTAAAGGTGGAAACAGCATTAGAGGAAGTAATGGCTGACATGTATTGAGCAGCTACTGTCTTTTGGGCACGGTACACCTATAATCTCTAATCCTTGGAACAATCTAGGTATTAGGTAGCTGTTCTCTTCATTGGACAGGTGTATTAGGGTTCTCTAGAGAAACAGAACCAATAGGGTGTGTGTGTGCGTGTGTGTAGATATAGATTTATTATAAGGAATTGGTTCATGCAATGATGGGGCTGAGAAGTCTCAAGATCTGCAGGGTGGGTTGGCAAGCTGGAGACCTAGGAGAGCCGACGGTGTGATTCCAGTCTGAGTCTGAAGGCCTGAGAACCAGAGAGAGCCAGTGTTTCTGTTGGAGTCAGCGTCCAGGGTCCCAGTTCTAAGGCAGTCAGGAAGAATTGTCTCACTTGGGGAAATCTCAGCCTTTTTGTTCTATTCAAGCCTTCAAGTGATTAGGTGAGGCCCACCCACATTAGGGAGGGCAATCTGCTTTACTCAGTCTGCTGATTCATGTGTTACTCTCATCCCCAAAACACCCTCACAGAAACATCCAGGACAATTTTTTGACCAAATGTCACTCCATGGCCCAGTTGATGCCTAAAATTAACTGTCACGTCCAGTGAGGAGACTGAAGCTTTGAGACCTTAAGTAACTTGTTCAGCATCACACTGCTGGTGGGGGGGCAGAGCCAGCTCTCAAACCGAGGTCTGTTCATCTCCCGTGTTCCACTCCTTCCCTTGACCACCCTCATTTAGAAAGTGTGGAGACTCCGAGGGTGAAGGGCTAGCTGAAGTCACCAAGAATGCAGGGTTGGCCCAGCATCCCGGGTCTGCTCCTTTCCCATCACACTGCTTTGAGGAAGTTCAGCTTAACCTGTGCTTATAGCTCATCTCTTCCCCGCAGGGTCCCCAAGAACGTCTTCAAGTGAAGGGATCAGAGTCAGGACCCAGTGAACCCTTAGGAAGGGGAGGGATTGGAACAACCAGATGAGTTCATTGTCCACTGATACCCAGAATGGCTTGGACTTTGTAGTGCTTCACAGGACCTAAAAAAAAAAGGTCCTGTGATGAGGTTGGCTGGGATCACTATTGTCTCTTGACTCAAGGCCAAAATTTTAACCAGTGCATTTGATAAAGACCTAGAGAGCATGCTTCTCTAGTTTGAGGAGGGAATGATAGAGGTCAAGCTGATTCAGAGTTACCCCTGACCCCTTCCTTGTCTACACCCAGTCAGTAGGGCTCTCATCCACTCACCCTCTGCAAAGAAGGAAAGACTGATTGGCAAATTTCTTATTTTGTTGATTTAATGTAGTTGTTTAGGAAACGGTTAGACTGTTATTTGGAAAGGCCTAAACAAAGTCATTCAAATAATTCATTTTGAGGCTTGAAGAATTCCCCGACCAAAAAGGTTTAGCCTAGAAAAAGTTAGAAAGATAAAGGAAATTAAGATTACTGGAAATGCCATCTTTTTCAAAACATTTATTTTACTAAAGTATAGTTGATTTACAATGTTGTGTTAATTTCTGCTGTATAGCAGTGTGATTCAGCTATACATATATATATTCTTTTTCATATTCTTTTCTATTATGGTTTATCACAGGATGTTGAATATAGTTTCCTGTGCTGTACAGTAGGGCCTTGTTTATCCATTTATACATAATAGTTTGCATCTGCTAATTAATCCCAAACTCTTCAACCCCCTCCTTCTTGGCAACCATAAGTCTGTTCTCTGTATCTGTGAGTCTGTTTCATAGATAAGTTCATTTGTGGCATATTTTAGATTCCACATATAAGTGATATCATATGGTATTTGTCTTTCTCTTTCTGACTTACTTCACTTAGTATGATAATCTCTAGGTCCATCCATGTTGCTGAGAATGGCATTATTTCATTCTTTTTTATGGCTGAGGAGTATTCCATTGTGTATGTATACCACATCTTTTTTATCCATTCATGTGTCGATGGACATTTAGGTGGTTTCCATGTCTTGGCTACTGTGAATAGTGCTGCTGTGAACATAGGGGTGAATGTATCTTTTCAAATTAGAGTTTTGTCTGCATATATGCCCAGGAGTGGAATTTCGGGACCATATGGTAACTCTATTTTTAGTTTTTAAAGGAACTGCCATAGTGTTTTCTATGGTGGTGCACCAATTTACATCCCCACCAGCAGTGCGGGAGGGTTCCCTTTCCTCCACACCCTCTCCAGCATTTGTCATTTGTAGACGTTTTGATGGTGGCCCTTCTGACCTGCGTGAGGTGATACCTCACTGTAGTTTTGATTTGGATTCCTCTAATAATCAGCGATGATGAGCATCTTTTCACGTGCCTGTTGGCCATCTGTATGTCTTTGGAGAAATGTTTATTTAGGTCTTTTGCCCATTTTTTTTTTTGATTGGGGTGTTTGTTTTTTTGTTATGGAGTTGTATGAGCTGTTTGTATATTTTGAAAATTAAGCCCTTGTTGGTTGCATCATTTGCAAATATCCTTTCCCAGTCCATAGGTTGTCTTTTTGTTTTGTTTATGGTTTCCTTTGCTGTGCAAAAGCTTGTAAGTTTGATTAGGTCCCGTTTCTTTATTTTTGCTTTTATAGAAATGCCATCTTAAGATTACCACTGCTAACGTTTTTATATGTATGCTGCTAGAGATTTTCAGAGTTTACTCTTAAGTAGGGTTCTAGTCTCGTTCTTCCATTATTATAGCTGTGTGACCTTGGGCAAGTCAGTCAACCTTTCTGAGTCTCCCTGTTTGTCTTTCCCCACCTATAAAATATCAGCTTCAGGTTCTTGTGGTGTTTGAATAGAAAAATGAAGTTTGTAACATTCCCTTGTTCGTAGCCGGTGCTTGATTCCAATTCCCTCTGCCCACTGCATGCTGACTTTTCACTGCCCCTTCTTTTAGGGCTGGGCAAGTATTTTTAAGAAGAGGTCATGCTGACAGTTCACAGATCGAATTGCCACTCATGTCATGTGATACCTTTTCTACTAAAGTATGTTAACACTCTTGGAAAACAAGTAACCCGTGGAATATTTGCATGTTGTTTTTTAAAAACTCCGTGCAGCTACGCATGTTCATGTATGAAAGTAAGCGTGTCTGATTGCAGAGGTTTCCCCATACTGCTCTGCCTCCTGAGAACATGAAAGGATGCTTTAACCACTTTTGGAAATTACCTATAAATAGTAGTAGGGAGCAGACTCCTTGGCTGTAAAGCGTATGTGACGTTGGGTTGCATTGGGCTAAATTGCAGTCCCGCGTGTTTGCTCTGCATTATCTGTTTCATAAATCCCACCACAGCACAATGAACAGACAAGGCCCTATGTGTGGCTTCCTCTCTGCGGCACATCACAGAGTCCTATTAACTGTGGACATCTTGGCCCATCCTGGGAGGAGAAGACCTCATTTTCTTGGGGGTCCCAAGAGCACAGGCTTTCTGAGTCAGGCCTCATCGCTGACTACATGAGTGTGGCATTTTCAGAAGCCAGCACGAGCCACCCTAGCAGTCACGAGCTAGTCACTCACTAGTGAGTGAGCAAAAGACCTAAGGACACACTTTTGTGCATGTGTGTGCATGTGAGTACACTTTTTTTTGTGTGTGTGGCATGCGGGCCTCTCACTGTCGCGGCCTCTCCCGTTGCGGAGCACAGGCCCCGGACGCACAGGCCCAGCGGCCACGGCCCACGGGCCCAGCCGCTCCGCGGCACGCGGGATCCTCCCGGACCGGGGCACGACCCCATGTCCCCTGCACCGGCAGGCGGACTCCCAACCACTGCGCCACCAGGGAAGCCCCGAGTACACTTTTTTTTTAAAGTCAGATCATGTTAGGGACCTTTTTATTGGGAGCATGAGTTTGTTTAATCTTCTGCGGTTATAAGTTTGAAACCCTATTGTGGAAAACTGGTTTAGATAAAAAGATAAAGCAGTTTAAAAATAATGGCAGGTCAAGTGAAGGGCATGGAGAGGTTGCACCTTTGAAAGAGAAAGTAAATATGCTGGAGATCTGAAGCACCAACAGGATACACAGAGCCTTGACTGTCTTCACATCAAGGGCCTTGGCCAGGTACCTTCTATGGAGAGACTCTGCCTCTGAAACAATTGCTCATGAACCTGTGGCCCTTCCTGCTATCATCACACAAGGTAGCCCGGGTGGCCTGGGTCTTCTGTGTCCTTCCCAAAGTGTGTCCCCCCTCCTGGGGACAGGCACTTCCCTCCGAGACCCGTTCTGGGCTCTGTCACGTCACGCCAGCCCCGAGCACTGCCCCGGCTTCCGGTGCCTCTGCTCCTTGCCTCTCCCTGCTGGGCAGGCTGCTACCCACAGGCCACCGCTCTGGCCTTTTCCTCCTTGGGCCTCACACAGGCCACATTACCAATAGGAGGTAGCAGCCTGGTTATTTTGTGCCTCTTGTGCTTATAAGAAAACACAATGGGTCTGTGTCCTAGTACCTTTGTACTGGATCCCTGGTGTTGAAACATAAGCCCCACGGCCAAACTGTGCCGGGCAGCCCAAGGTGTCAGGCAACCCTGCCAGGCACTGAACCAGAGTAGGGCCCTGTGTGGGTCCAGTGGGTGTCAGGAATGCATGTTTGACTTGGAGGTAACTGGATACCGTACAGGAAGGTGACTAAGAGACACGTGGAGTGGCTGGAAGTGTAAAGGAGAGAATTCAGTGTCCTCTCTGGCTCATAAAGTACCCCCGCTTTTGTGCTAAATAAACCTCACGTCACGCCGGGCAGCAGGGGAAAGGTGACCACTGAATGATGATTATGTGGCTGGCCAGTGGCCAGGCGTGTTGTGCAGGGGCTGGCAGAGGATGAGGTCCGCCCCTGCGCCCTGCCCGCTCAGCAGTTCCTGCTTCTGCATCCCGAGGGGTGCAGGTGCCCGGGCTCAGGGTGGGGAGGGGGACAGGCAGTGGGTGTGCAGACCTGAGACAGGACTGACGGGGTCTGGGGACTAGAAGGTGAGGTGGTGAGGGGAGCTTCGGGCCTTGGCCCTGAGGGTTGTGTGCTTGGCTGCAGGCAGGGGTGGGAGGAGGGGGCCGGGCCAGCAGATGCCATCGAGTGCCCCCAAGGGAGGGGACAGCGGGCCAGGCTCCCACTGACAGCCTCTTTGCTCTTTCCTTTTTGAAGGATGGAGGCTGCACGTGTCCAGGAGATGTCGCCAAAGCCTTTGGTAAGAGGCCGCAGAGGGGGAGGGGAGGCAGCTCCCTGCAGGGGTGCCGGAAGGTGGTGGCAGACACGTTAGGAAGTTCAGGGCCAATCCTGAGTTTCCTCTCCGCGGATTTCAGCCCCCGATTGGCCCAAATCCTGGCATCAGTTTGGTTCCGGTTGGTGGCAGAGCAGGCCGAGTGCCCAGGGATCGATGGAGGGGTGTTACCCTGTGGGCCAGGAGTGGGTGAAGTCATAGCCCAGAAATCACCACTGGGAAGGCTCAGGTACCCGAGGAAGAGGACTGTATCGGGTCCGAGACACCGAAACTTCAGCGAGGGGGTCTTCGGAGCCTAACTTGGGGGACTGAGGGAGGGACGGGAGCCCTAGCCGCAGTTCCTCACCACCGGCCGAGGAGTCTGTGTCGCACCAGGGGCGGCGGCGTCTGGCTGTGACCCCGCAGGGCTGGGCCACGGCGCCCCAGCCAGGTGTTTTCTTGGGGAGGCACTGGGAGGTCCAGCATCTCTGCGTGCTGTGCTCTGTGCCTGCCACTGAGCCCTTGCCAACTGCGGGCAGAAGTCAGAGCTGCCGCACAGCTGGGGAACCCCACCTGTGAGGTGAGGCCATGTGTGCTGGCAGGGACATCTCTACTGTTGATTTTTGTGCTGCGTGTACTTAATACTGATGGGTGTTCTGTCTCGGGCTCCCTTCTGATAGGGCACACGGTGCACCCTGCCCAAGTGGTGTCTGGACTCCCACTCTGGCAGCTTTCCCTCCCCGTGCTCCCCCAGGAAATGCAGCCACGCCTGTGGAGGGAGAGGGAGCAGGTCGGGGCAAAATGCTGGTTAGGAAGGGACACGAGAGTGTTCAGAAAGGAAAATAATTGGAAGCCACTTCAAAGTATTGTTTGAGTGGATCTGTGCTCTGTGTTCCTGCTGTTTACATCTGCCACTGGGGTTGTGGTTTTCAGGAGGCCTGGCCAGACACCAGTTGTCCTCTGCCCCCTTATAATCACGGCGGGGGGGGGGGG